GTCTTTTTTTTTTAGGTCGCGCTGCTGCAGCACCTGCTGCGGGGGGACGCGGCGGCGGTCCCGCAGGGAACGCAACCCCGAGCAAGGACTGCGCAGGAACCGGGACTCAGGGGCCCCGCTCAGCCCGTCGGTAACAGTGACTCAGGTCTCTGCACCACCATCCCGGACGAGAAGTGGCACAGGGCTGATGCGGCTCGGCTTGGTGAGGCTCGGCGCGCAGGTGCGCTTATGCTCAGCCCGGGCACTACGGCACTGCTACTGGCGTGAATTCGTGTTCCCTTCACCCCTCCTTCCTCTGCATCTGTAAGGAGCAGAAGGAGACGGAGGAATGGAGACTACCTGCCTGATGTCTGTGTTTTCTTGGTCACAAAAGGCAGCGCTTCTCACTCAGCTGTGTAAAGCCTGACTGCAGGACATGGCATCCACTCAAGGAGACTTGCGGAAAAAAAAAAAAAAAAAAAAGACAGAAACTTGTAAATCCACAGGAAAGCCCCCTCCAACCCACCTCCTTCCCAGACCACCCTCTCTGGTAAAAAGCCCCAGTGAATAGATGGGCCTTGCAACATGCCCCTCGGGTCAACAAACTTGCTCTTTCTGACAGGCCAGCAGGGAAAAAGAATGACGCTTGGGGTATTTAAAATGAAAATGGCAGTGTGGTACCACCATGGACAAAAAGTCATCGGTAGGGCAGTTGCAGGGAGTTGGGCTTTAGTGATAGAATTCTAATGCTATGGTTTTATGCACAACCTGTGGGGAAAGCCCCCAGAAAGACAAACCAGGGCTAAAGTCCCAGAATCATCTCACCAGAGGCGCCACGTGCAGCCCCAGTTAAACCCCATCCCTGTGCTCCCTCATGGCCCCACTGCTGCTCGCCGCTGGGTGTGCCCAGGCTGCTGGGCAGAGCTGCTGCCAGTGCTTCGTATACCTGAGCACTGGTTTTTAAAGTGAATCTCTGCATCGTCCCCTACCTATGTTATGCAGTTTCGCACCCCAGCGAGTTGCCTCCTCCTGTAACACCAGTGACCACCAGTTCATTATGATTTAGCCTGTCCATGTCCGAGACTCCAAGGGACTTTGAACACTCTATTCCCCCTCCCAGGGAAGGGGAAACCCATGTGCTGTCTTGGCAGCACAGGGCAGAGTGGTGCAAAAGGCAACTGAGCTCCCTGTGGAGGCTCCTGCTTCACCATCACCTCCTTAAGCTGTGGGGCAGCATCACCTGCAGCAGGGCCACCCCATCTCTCTCTACCACACCCTCTGCTTCCAGCCTTGGTGTAAAACCCTGGCCAATGCCAGCTACTTGTGCTGAAGCTCCCATGACCCAAACGCCCCCAGAAACCCCTGAGGGGCGCAGCAACTGCCACAGTGCTGCGGAACAAGGAGGAGACGCGTGGCAGTGGCGGCAGCGGTGGGTGGGACAGGGAAGGGGGCTGTGGTACTTGGGGCAAGCCCCCTGCCCCGTGCAGGGATTTGCGTGGCCTGGCCAGGCGAGAGGCATCTGTGTGGTCTGGCGCCGCCCCGTGGGGTGAGTGCTGGTCTGGGGGGCAGGAGGGCCGCCGCTGCCGTCCGCGGCATGAACTGTCCTCAAGGGGTCAAGCTGTTCAGCTCCAGCCCCTTTACCAGGCGTGCTCCTGCTTTGTGGGGACAAAAGCCCCAAGTAGGCAACGATCAAGAACCTATGCACAATGATTTAAGCTTATCACACAGCCACGAAATAAAGGCTGCTGGGCGGGCACGCAGGAGCAAGGGAGCCCCTCGGGGCGCCTTTGTTTGCCCTAAGCAGCTTGAACTCTGAGGCGACCTGAGAGCCCTAAAAGTTTAGGGTCGGTGTTGCCCAGAGACCTCAAGAGCCGTGTGGCGACCTCACAAGTCGTGAGCGCTGGCAGAGCCCAACCAGGCCCACAGCACCCAGGCTGACAGGGGAGAGGTGTTGAGCTGCCCTGCACTGAGGCAGCCCTGCACCCCATGGCCTCAGCAGAGCCCTGCAGCCTGGTGACGGATGTGGGGGCAAGTGGGACAGCTCTTAGAGCAGAGATCATGTCATGCTGCACCTCTCCTGGGCTGAAAATGGG